TTGTGAACGTCAACTAATTCGTTATGAGCTGAAGCGAATTTGCCCATTTTAGTTTCCATATGTGACACCTGCTCACCTAGACTTTCAACTTCTTTATTAATTTGTGACACAAAGCTCATCATATCTTTATGTAGGGACCCCTTAAGCGTAACTAACATATCTTTCATAACTGCAGCTGTGAGCTGTATGGACTCAGCAGGATAGTCCTCCAGATGTTCTATAAATTATCTTGTGTTATTGTGTGAAAAAGAATCAGAGGAATGCTCACCCACTTGGAGTACTGTAGAAGAACAGCTCTGCTTGTGTTCTGTGGGCTGTTAGTTGGGGACTGCACTGTAGAGCCAGGTGTCACTGCTGGGCTGGAGGTGTGCAGGGGAGATCTGTGACCGTCTCCCTCCACGTGCCCCTGCAGGGCTGGGAGAGAAGCAGGAATCAGCGCCATCTTGGGAGGAGGGAGCACCCGCCAGAGTGAAGAACTCTGTTAGATTTCGGGGCCCCTCCTTTATTTTACATTTCCCCATCTCCACTAATCGATGCCCCACATCACCCTGAGGCAAGTGTCAGTGGATATCCCCGCTGTCACCCGTCGCTGTCAGTCGCTCCAAGAGCTCTCCCTCTATGCGGCCATCTCCGTCCACGGCCGGCCTCGCCCCCCCTCAATTAAGCCTTTCAATGAGGGCGCTGCCCCACTTGAAGGGATCATGTTCAAGTTTTCCAAAGTTGGGTTACTAGGAGTTGGCAGTGTAAAAGCTGAAGGCTTTTCTTTTTGTCAATTAGGTCTCCAGTATGCATGTGATCACATGTCACAGCTCACATAGTGGGCACAGGACCGGGAATAGGTCCCCATCTATCAGCAAAAGCTGGAATTAGGAGCCAGAATCTGCATTAAGTGTTGGCTGCTTGCCCTCAAATGGAGGAGGTATCCTTTTAATAGATTATGGTATCCTTGCCACTGGGAATTGTGCTGGGGAATTAACAGTTTGCAGACAAGCAGAGGTTAAATAGATCCTCTTGCTTTGCTCTGTGCAGTTTGCAAACAAGATGTGTTTTTTTAGTTTCCTGATTTGTATTCTTTATGTATCTTACTGATTTTTTTTTTGGGGGGGGGGTCACAGTTACAGTATAAAATAATGGTGTCTCTGAACTTCATATTTTTTTTTTTATTTAAATATATGCAGTTGCTTTCATTGCTAATTATTTTTCGGACAGAGAAAGTTCAAAATGAAATTGACAGAGTGATTGGATCAGCTGAACCCCAAACTGAGCACAGAAAACAGATGCCATACACTGATGCTGTCATTCATGAAATCCAAAGGTTTGGTGATATTGTACCTATGAATGTGCCACATGCAACTGCTACAGATGTCACATTTAGAGGGTACAACATTCCAAAGGTGAGTATATTACTGAAATTGTACCAAAAAGGCATGGGACTTAGTGTCCAGGAAAGTGAATTGTTGTCCCAATTTAGTACCCCACCAGAGATACAGCCAGTACACAAAAGCATTACAGGAAAGCATGTTAGTAGGATAAAGTGGAGCTTCAACCATAGATTGACCAAAATCCAGATGATTAACAGAAATCTCAAAAATGTCCCTTGTGAATACTTTGGTAATTGCAATGCCCAGTTCCTGGCAACACACCCGAAGAAAAAATCTGGCAACACAACCAATCTCAACTGTACCACTGCCTGCAAATGACAACTCTCCAGTCTTTCATCAGCTATATGAGGAAAGGGTGGGGATGGTGGTGACAACATTGCAATAGGGGGCAATGTGGCCATATTTATGCAATGATGTAACCCACTAATTTCTGCTCATTTGCTTATGTGGCCAGAGATTTTCATCCATGTAAGTGAATGACACCAATGATTGGGAAGGATGAGGTGGATGCAAGCACCCATAAATTACTTAGCAACCAGTGACAGCAGGAAGCTGTCACATATGTCTACACCAAAGCCTTAAGCATTCATATTTTGGACAAATGTCTAAACAACCAATGTTTGGTTCAAAATTAAGTTTGGACCAAACACTGAACTCATTTCTACTCCTAGATTTAAAAAATATGAAAGTGAGACTGCACACAATATTTTTAGGACTTAAAGGATAAGTTCACCTTCAGGAACATGTTGCATGTTCCTCCTGTTTTTAGGATGGAACAGGTAACATGTTCCCATCCCTGCAGCTCTCCACCCAATTCCCCCTCCTCCCTGTGTCAGCAGGCCGGGGATCTTCTCTCTGCACCCACTGTCACAATTTGAAAAAAGAGTGGCCTTACGGGGCTCCACCCACTTGGTTGCATCATTCATTCACTGTTCTGTGAATGAAAAGACTACAAGTGCCGACAGCCTTTGCATCTTACAGCTTGTAGTTCTTAATGAACTACGAGGGTGCCAGTGAGAAGTTCTTTAATTTTTCCTGGACTGAAGTAATTGTCTGCCCATATTGGAGATGTGAATAGACAGGTAAAATGAGTCTGCAGGAGCTTGACATTGCACCCTCAATCTGCTTATCGTGGGTGCAATGCTATACAGGTTCCTAAAAAAACAACAGTAAATGCACATTTTTTTTTTCTGCAAAAAAAATGTATTATTTTTTTAAAGTTTAAACTATCCTTTATTTAAGCGGTAATTATTGCTTTTTGTTTTTATTAAAACAGATTTCATAGCACAGTAGTGGTGTAAAGGCAAAAAAGCCATTTAAATCATCAGACTAAGCCCCAAAATATTGCTGCTTGAAGAGTTGTTTATTAATTACATTACTAATATGCTGTGAACTTTGCTTTTTATACAGTATATTTTTGAATTATGAAGAGCAATAATTGTAGTCCTCTGTACAGATCTTTTGGTGAACTGTAAAAAGTAAGTACACACTGTGATGTCTAACTCCTAGGTTTTAAACCTGAATCCCAGGTGCTACTGACAGGTAAAGCTCTGGAAATTTCAGGTAGTACGCCTCTACCACCCCTCTCACCCCCTACACATTATTATTGACCCATTGCTATGATGGGCTGCTTCACTGGCCAACAGAATTGAACAGGAGACAGGAATTGTCTGAGCTTTTCCTGTCAGAGCAGCCCAGAATATCATTGTAGGAGCAATAATTTGGAGGCTCTTGCATGTGCCTCATATTAGGTACCCATATACAGGTGAAACTCGAAAAATTAGAATATTGTGCAAAAGTTCATTTATTTCAGTAATACAACTTAAAAGGTGAAACTAATATATGAGATAGACTCATTACATGCAAAGCAAGATAGTTCAAGCCGTGAGTTGTCATAAGTGTGATGATTATGGCTCTAAGTTGCATTACTGAAATAAATGAACTTTTGCACAATATTCTAATTTTTTGAGTTTCACCTGTATTAGGTGTTCATACTTTAAATGTGCAATAGTTTAAATTTGCATTCTTATCTTTGTAAGACCATCCTTTTGTATAGGTACTTTGTTCTTATCCATTGAAGTAAAAGAACATGAAAGCATATCCTAAACCCAAACACACAAATGTAATCTAATGGAGCTTACCAAGCCTGGATGTGGTAGCTGTGTTAGTTTTCTGTTTAGGATTGTTTCCTTTATTTTCATCTGGTGACCCTGCCAGTAATGCACTCTCTGTCCCATGGTGGTCATACGGACAATCATTTCACTGCATTTGTGGAGAAGCAGCATTATCACCGTAGACTGCTTTCTTTTACTACAAACACCCCACTTTTCTTTCCTCGATAACAAGGGGAACAGGGGAGGGGGGTATCTGTAGTCCTTAGAGATACTGTAGCTAGATATAACAAGATATAACAAAACACTCTAAAAGGTAATTTTAACAGACAAAAATGGACCAAAAAAGAAATTTAATATCAGGGTTCAGATACCCTTGAAGCTTACATAGTTAATCTGGCTGAAAAAAAGACAAGCGTCCAACCAGTTCAACCATTAAATTAAAAAAAAAAAAATTTAAACATCATAATTCTATACCCACAATTGATCCAGAGGAAGGCAACCCCCCCCCCCCCCCCAAAGCATGATTCAATTTGCTCCTGCAGGGAAAAAAATTCCTTCCTGATCCCCCGAGAGACAATCAGATATTCCCTGGATCAACTTTACCTATAAATGTTAGTATCCAGTTATATTCTGTGTATCTATGAAAGAATCCAGGACTTCTTTAAAGCAATCCACTGAGCTGGCCAGAACCAACTCTTGAGGGAGTCTATTCCACATTTTCCAAGCTCTCACTGTGAAGAAACCTTTCCATGTTTGGAAATTAAATCTCTTTTCCTCCAGACATAAAGAGTGCTCCCTTGTCCTCTGTGATGACCTCAGGGTGAATAGCTCTACACCGAGTTCACTATATGAACCACTGATGTATTTATACATGTTGATCATATCCCCCCTTAATCTCCTCTTCTCAAGCGAGAATAAATTCAGTTCCTCTAATCTTTCCTCATAGCTGAGCTCCTCCATGCCTCGTATAAGTTTGGTTCCCCCTCTCTGTACTTAAAGCCTCTAAACACTCAGTCAGCAATGTCCCTCTGATACATAGACGTTTAGAGCTTTAATCAAGATTGTATAGCTATTTATGTACACTGAAGTGATTCTTGCTCTAAATTTTGTTTTTATGATGATTATCACTGGAAAAGAGAGTTATAGGAAATTCAATATTTTTCAGCTGCCACCTTAGCAAGAGTAAAAAGGAAATATCCAAATAAGGCCACTTATTAGAGTGACAACTGTTTAAGAGGTCTCTTTTGGATTATTTTTCCTCTGCTCTTTTTGTTTATATATATATTTAGGTTTTTGTTTTTTTGCTGTTTGTGTCCTGCTGTGGATTTTAACCATTCCCTGCTGTACCCAAAACTGAAAAGAGTTTAGCTATATTTACACTTGAAAAATAATGTGCTATCAGTACAAAGTATGAGAAGCATGGAAAACAGTTTTCCATAATAAAATATTTAGCATCATACTTATACTCAAACAAAAACACTTAGCAATGATATTAATTGTGTTTTTTCTACAGGGAACCACTGTCATTCCATTGCTGACCTCTGCCCTAAGAGATAAAGCTTACTTTGAAAAACCAGAGGAGTTTTATCCTGAACATTTCCTTGATTCAGATGGAAGTTTAAAGAAGAACGAAGCATTCATACCATTCTCACTAGGTAATGTTCTTTGGGAGCAGGTGTTTGTTGATGTTGTATCATTTCAGGAAACAATAAGTGTAATGGTATATCGTAATGGGCTCACCAATAGCTGTATGCGGCGGCCATGTTGTTCAGGTCTCCGTTCCCCATGCCATCTTTTTCGAATAAGAGACATAGCTGCAAAGACCTCCCTCCCCCCTCCAGTATATGAACTCAACAACTCTTAGTTGAAGACTAGAATATCCTTATCAGTTCCTTGAGGGAGCACAGGCAGACCCTCTCCAGTTTTAAAACTGTCAAATATGCAAGCTTGAGCAATCCAAAATGCATAAAACAAGAATTGCGCTAATTGGTAAAAATATACTGTAAATGTGCTAAACATAAAAAATGTGTATCAAACAATAAATGCCCAAATCTGCAAGTGCAAAACAAAATGTATTCTAAAGTCCCAAAGGCTGGAATAGTGATGGATAGTATTCCACTCCAAATGACAGCTGTAGGATGGGAGCATCTCCCAGGAAAGTTGAAGGGTCCTCCAGAAGGTAACGCCATGCAAGGCTTACCAGAAATGTATGATCTTCTGGTTAAAGATAGGTCAACATGTGTATTATTCACAGATCTTAGTAGTGGTAATCAAAGGGTGAAAAACACCATATTCATCTCAGAAGATGCTTGAGAAAGGATCCTTGATTCCGTGTCCATCCAAATATTGACATATCAAAGATAAAACAAGAAGCTCCACATAGTATGTTCTATTCAATTTACCCATTTATTTATAAATGAAAACCACTCACATTTAAATGAAGTAAAAGCACTTATAAAACATTGGCGGGTAACATCAAAATGGCTTCCCGCAGATTTCCGTTTGCGCAATGATGTCACAACAAGCTCCTCCTGATGCATTTCGTTACACCTGACATCCTGTGGGGCACGGTTGCCATGCTGGACTGCTGCGACTTATGTAGGAAGAGGGACGTCAAGCCTCACTTTGGATTCCATTGTGTTCTACACCTCATTTCCGTGTGACGCTGAAAAGGAACCAAGCCTTATTTCCCTATCAACATGACGTTGAAAGGGAGCCAAGCCTTGATGGTGATTAGACCCAGAAAAAAAATCACACCAGGAAGTAAATGGCCACAAAAATAATATAGATATTTTGGGCCTGGTTCACTCGGATTACTACATCATTGAAAAATTGGTTTAGAAAAAATCTCCTAGAACAAAAACTATAGCAAAAAAAAGTTTAATTAGTAAAGGTGATTAAGAAAATATATAGGTCACTAAAATGTATATAATATTGGATCAAAGGCTGCCCCTTCACCTGGCATCCTTTAATGGTCAAAAACAAATAAATAAAAAATAATGAACTAATATGCAAAGAAAAACATTTTTTGAAGAAAAAAAAAGCTAGAAATAATTAAAAATTATATAGAAAAATTAAATGTGAAAAAATAATAATAGAAACCTCTACTATACTCACTAGACAAAAACCCAATAAAATACATATAATACAATTAAAAAAGAAACAAAAATATAATAAAAAAATATATCGAGGAATCCAAGGAACTCCAAATTGAGGTTCAAAATCTCTATAGTATAATTAAAATATAACAAATATATAAATAAATTAAAATTAAGCAGACTTGATTTCAATAAACCTAAATATAGTGTTTAAAGTCCCAAATAAAAGTCCCAAAAAGATAATCTTTGCCGGTGATTTCACAATTCTTCGTGTCTCCAAACAATAATAGTGGTATAGTCAAAAAAAAAAAAAAAAACCTCAAAGAAAAAATACTGAACATAGTGTGTTATCCCAAATATTATCATAAAGTGCCACACGTGTTACATGCAAGCAGACTAAAGTGCCACAGCAACTGTGAAATAACAAAAAACTTCTATGCCTTAATTATCAATCCACTGCACACAAATATCAGGAGTGCATAATTACCCTAAAGATAGTATCATAGGATTCATCATATAGATGAGATTATTTCCAGCCTTTTTCCATCAACCTTTCCAGCCACTTCCCACAGACCTCATAAACAAAACCAGGGATCAGTGTATATAATAGATAATAATTACACTTTATTGTAGCAACTTACATTAAAATATGATGAGATCAGCTTCCATACAGTGAAAATGGTTCCACAATAACACCCCTCCTCAGTGGCACCTAGGTATCATCACCATACCACTCTGGAGGAGAGACAAATCAACGGTGGAGGATTCCAACACAAACACAACCGCATGTAGAGGATTCCAGGACAAACACAACCGCGTGTTCCAGGATCTAAGATGGCTGCCACGGCACTTCCGGAAGAGCGTCACTACGTCACCACGTCACGTGCCCCGGACACGTTTCGTCACATCCGGACTTTTTCAACAGGGATACGGACGTGTCTCCTCACTCTCTTTAAATATCACTGGCTAGGGAGGCAAAGCCACAGCCGCGGCCATCTTACATTCTGGAAACCCGGGTATCCATACCAATGCAGTCAGGGTGCACCCGGGCCAGCAAAGAAAGGGATAACAATCCCATACTAGCCACCTTGTACACCCCGGACCCACAAACATATTTGCAGTTATAAACCCATCCACCAAAAAAACACATAACAAGCCAGTACCGGCCATTTATAACAAAGGAAGACTCCATACAAATATATTATAAAATTACACTAAAACGAACAGAAAAAATAGGGATCAGAGTTATCCTACATATTATTACTACACCCCCTCTATTGGAATACAGTATACCAATACTAAATACCCTATTCAAATCAGACCCCTATCAAAAACCTAAAATTATAAAAATTACCCAAATTCTATAACAATTAAATACATTAAAGACCACAGCTCTTAAATATCTTTTATGTGACCATAGAGGTGAAGGAATCAATCCTCCTATTGCTACATTTATTTGACAAATGGAACATTTCCTGCATGGATAATAACCAGACATCAAACCAAATTGCCCTCCCCCATTGTAAAACCTTAGCTATAGTCTTTAGCAATACACATTGATTGCTATCTTTCGTCCCTGGTAAAATTAAGAAATTTAGTGTATTTCATAACTCATGAGATGGTAACAGTACAGTCAGAAAAAGGCCAAACATCCATATGTTAGATGATATGGGGAGTCAACAGGATATATTAATCCTCCTAGGTGAAGTAGATATCCGATCTCCGCATATTAATATCCATTCAAAAGGTAATTCAATGCTGGACAATAATATGCAGGTTAGCTGACTGTAAGAGGTAGGTATTCAAAGATATTAATACCTATAAAAAACTGGATCTGTGGCATCATCGTAAACACAAGGACATCCCATGACCCCTCCTCAGCTGCTTAATTGGTCAGATCATTTCTGTGAACAACCCCTCTCAAGGACACCAAAAGAGTGGCTACCCTGTAGTTGACAGCTCTTGGTTTGCCATCAAAAAAGAAAATATTTGTGAAGACTTGAGAGCCACTTTTCCACCTTGCTCATTACTGGGACTCTGCTGAATGTACAGAACCAGGACGTTGTTAAGTATTTTCACCCTCAAATCTTTTTTATTTCTGTTGGCTTGTTGTCTATTTGCTTCTTTGTAATATGCTTTTTATGTCAATAAATTATTTGCACCATTTTTATCTTTTCATTATTAAACAATATTTTGAAAAGTGTTAAAATTGTCTCTAATGCACTAATGCAGGACTTATAGGACATATTCGTCTTTGATGACAGTGTGTGTACAGATGTTTATTTAGATTCATAATTGTCATCCTTGTTATTGTGAAGAGTTGATAGGCCCAAAGCTATGTGGTGGCAGTTTGGGGTTTAAAGGGTTAATTGCTTAGTTAACTACACCCAGGGACAATTTCTCACAGTCTGTTGGCACTTTGATAGTAGTTCTGCAAGCTGGGAAATCTTTGTGCAGGGTGAGGCTGAGAGTGTCATTGTTGCAAAACAGTGACAGCACAGTGTGAGGTTGACCAGCCAGTTGTCACAAGTTGGTGAAAATGTCAATGGTGACCCACGTTTGTCACAGTAAAGTACATTCACATAGATCAGAGAAGGCTCATAGTGTTTCAGGATATTCCCAGTGTGGTAGGAAGTGTTCCTGTAAGGAGTGTAATCACATTCAACCAAATTGTTCTGTGATGTTGAAGATTTTTCTAACTTATTCAAGCCACTTCTCAAGTTCCAATGAGTGTTAGGAACATAGCATAGAATTAGAGACATAGAAGACAATTGGTTTGAAAGAGGCCATTGGGGGGGGGGGCCTTCATTGCCATCTGTCTTCCACATATAATGCTGTTTTGACATCTTTGCCCTGACAATTCAACCCTTCAACCATGTATATGAAATGATTAGCATGTGTCCAGATTTCCCTACACATGGGATTATGTAACTAGACCAGGGTGGATCCACAAGTTTCACACCTTCCATCCTGTTTTTGAACAATCAGCATCTCTCTTGACAGACTGGATATTAAGTGCTCTGGTAGTCTTTTAACCCTTTTACCTTCACCATTGTAAAGGTTATGGATGAGATCAGTAAGCTTCCATCATGGTTCTCATCTGTACTGCTCGAATCAGGAATGGCTCCATTTTGCAAACTTGGGGCCAGCATGACTTACATCATTTCAGATGGGTGTATAACACTGGTAGCTTGAATTTTAATAGCATTCAGAAATGTTATCATTGAGCTAAGTTTTACTGTTTTCTTTTGTCACCAGGTAAGAGAAGCTGTGCTGGAGAAAACTTGGCAAAGATGGAGCTGTTCTTGTTTTTTACAACACTGCTGCAAAACTTCACCTTCCAGACCCCTCCAGGTGCTAAGTTGGACCTAACCCCTGCAATGGGTTTCACCAATGCCCCTTACCACATAAGATCTGTGCTATTCCTCGCAGCTAGGACATAGCCAAGTCAATCTACAATCATGATTGACCCACATGAAAAAAAAAAACTTTAATTTTGTAAAAAAAAAAGTTTTGTTAAAAAAGTTAATTACTTCCATTACATGGATGTTTGGAAAAGTAATTCTTTCCTGCTTGCTCTGATGTTGTGTGGACTATATTTTATTCAACTTCATCTGCAACAGATTCATATATTGGAAATCTGATTTAAAATACTTTTATACATGAGGCTGTCTGTGGTTTGTAGGTCCTTATTATTATGATTTGTGTGTCAATCTGCGTTTCTCAAGTGCCATTCAGTAAAGTTGGGATGTAACATTTTGTTGCCACCAACACCTGACACCTGCAAGACACTTAGCAGAAAAGTAAATTAAAGTACATTATTTATAAAGTGGCTCATCCAGTTTTTGGATTAACCTTCCAGTTACAATTTAAATATTTCACCTTTTTAAAAAGAGTAACATAAATATTTTTTAAAGAATTTATTTGCACTTTTACCAGTGTGTTCCAAGAATGAGCAGGATTGTACATTACAATACATAGAATATACCAGAAAATAAGCAGACCATTTAAAAAATATTTTTTTTTAAATAGATTACAGAACATAGTAAAAATGTATACATCTGGTCATTGTTTCTTATTATTACATGTAAAATATTTTAATTATTTCTAAATGTACAGGTTGATTGTAATTTCTGTAACAGATTATAAAACTGTGTCGTATAAATAAAGAGAAATATTTCCAAAAAGTACACCCAGCTTGATATCAATCCTTATGTTACATTTCATTGACATACTATGGACTGGAAAAACATAAATTTCTTTACAATTGTCAAGGTCCTACCTTTTCCCTGAGGTTATGTTACTCCATGTGCTGGCGTCCATCTTGGATTTCTGCTGTGCATGGTGGGAATCCTTTTATGCCTTCAGGTCTCTGAGGTCCATCCCCCAGAGGGGTGTGGCTGATGACATATAAGCCAGTGGTCCGCACATGCTCTTTGCACTTGTGTCTTGTGTCTTTGTGTTGCTATTACTCTGTTCCGACTCTCGTGACTCTCCTGGTATCTGATTCGGCTTGTGACTCGACTATTCTTTGTATTCTCCTTTGATCTGACCCTCTGTTGCTGAACCTGGCTCGTGACCTGTGATTCTCGTCTGCTGTCCTGTACTGTTTTGTCCTGTTGTTGTTGACCCGGCCTGTCTGACTACTCTTTTGTCTCTTGCACCAGCTACACGCCATTGGCGGCGGCCATTACCGCAGCTGAGGTGTTTCGGGGGCCGCGACCTGGTTCCTGGCTGCGTCAAGTCCATCCCCACCATCAGGGGCCCTGGTGAAGGACAGCCTGGGACTTAGACTCCGCGCCCTGAGGGACTTCGGTCTGTGGGTGGTGGTTGTCGTCAGCCAGTGCGTTACATTGTTAGGCCTGCCTGTCCGTTCCTCGGCTCCTGCCCTGACAACAATGTATTATTTCTGTTACAATTATTTGTAATAATAATAGAAATAATACATTTTTACATTATTATTACAATGTATTATTGTTGCCACAAGTTTTTAGAAAAAACAAGGTTTTTCAAAACCTTGTGACAAAAAAAATAAGATCTGCAATCTCACCATACTCACCATGCCTCTTATCAATTACCTTGGAGTGTCTACTTTTCAAAAAGGGGTAATTTGGGGGGTGTTTGTACTATCCTGGTATTTTAGAGCCTCTGAAACTTTAATAGGTAGTCAGAAAATCAAATGAGCAAGATACACCCTTTGAAAGTCTTAAGGTGCTCATTGGATCTTGGGCCCCTGTATGCAGCTAAACTCCATAAAAGTCTCACACGTGGTATTCCCATACTCAAATGCTTGTGGCAAATAATTAGATCTTCCAAAGACTCAATTTACCTCTCAGAAAATCCAAAAGCATCATGATCCAAAGCAGCATGGCTTTACTGAGCGCAGATCATGTCAGACTAATATGACTGGAGTTTTGGACTATATTACCAATATTTTGGACCAGGGTGGTGCTGTGGACATAGCATATCTTTATTTTAGCAAGGCATTTGATACAGTATTGATCTAATACAAAAGTTGTACAAGATAGGACTTAGCCCTTGGGTGGTTCAGCAGATATGCAGCTGGCTAAAGGATATATACGAGAATGTGGTTGTAAATGGGGTTCACTCGGAAAAGAACCCAGTCACTAGTGGTGTACCACAAGGCTCTGTACTAGGTCCTGTTCTATTTAATCTATATGTAAGTGATATAACTAAAGGTTTGTTGAGTAAGGTATGTCTGATGACATGAAAGGTGTGCAATAGGGTTGATATCCTGGAGGTGTATGTAATATGGAACATGATTTGGCGTTGCTGGAATTTTGGTAAAAAAAGTGGAAATTGTAGTTCAATATTTCTAAATGTAAAATAATGCACCTCTAGGTAAAAAGAATCCCTTGAAAGAGTACAACATTGGGGGTACATTGGGGCCAGCAACACAGAGGAAAAGGATTTGGGGGTACTCATTTAAGGCAATTGCAAAATGAGTAAACAGTATGTCCAGGCAGTGGGGACAGCAAATAGCATTCTTGGATGCATCACTAGAGGGGTAACCAGCAGGAGGAGGAAGGTCCTAATTCCCCTATATAGATCTTTATATCACGAAAGGGGTCACCAGCAGGAGGAGGGAGGTCCTAATTCCCCTATATAGATCTTAAGTTAGACCTCATTTAGAATACTGTGTTCAGTTATGGAGACCTCACGTACCAAAAAGATATTGATAAGATAGAACGAGTCCAGCGATGGGTAACAAAAATGGTGAAAGGTCTGGGGGATAAAAGATATCAAGAGCGACTTCAGGAACGTAACATATACAGTCTAGAGGAAATAAGGAAAAGGGAGACATGTCTGAAATCTTTAAAAACATCAAGAGGGATGAATAAGGTTCAGGAGGGCAGTATTTTCAACACAAAACCAAAATCAAGGACACGGGCACATGACCTTAAACTAGCTGGAGGAAAGTTCAAAACTAAAGAAAGTACTATTTTACTGAAAGAGTAGTTGATGCTTGGAATAAACTTCCAGCAGAGGTAGTGAGCCAGTCAACAATAAATAGCTTCAAACATGATTGGGACAAGCATAGATCTATACAACCAGCCGTAAAACAAACCAAATTAACCTGTCTAACAGTATGCGTTAAAAACAGGGGTTTAGTTAGCACACATTTGCAAATACATGAGTAAGCTACAGAGCCTTGTCATGGCACCCCGATATTCTGTAGTTCCTAACTCTACAAATTTTGAGAGCCCCCATAGTAGAGATACATGTATTTAATGGATAGACCAAGGGCAGGTGGACCTGAGGGAGCCCACATGGTACCGGCAACGGGGCCGGTACTCAGATCTGTCATCGGCCGTGTCCGAAGTACACGGCCGGTGACAGATCGCGCCGCTGCATGGCTCTGCAGGCATTGTGATTGTGTGAATAAAAAGTGCAGCGCTATAAACGCATGAACATTATAAAAATATTGATGCTATAATCATAAAAATAAAGTATATAAATAAAGTGCAAAAAACATGCAGTTGTGCAACTGAGTGAATCAATGAATGTCCTTTATGACAATATAAATCAAACAGCGAGCAATAAACGCTAATAGTCCTCAAATCAATTGCAATGTATCCAAGTGAGGAAGTGCAAATGTGCAAATATCCGTGAAGGGAATCCACCACCTTGAACGGATGTACAGTCACCAGAAATCAAACATTAATGCGCATGTGTTTATAATCTGTCATATCTGGAGGTGCAGGGGTGTAGAGACAGCTCAGGGTTAATCTTACAGCTCCATCCGTACACAAGTGGGGCAGGTCTCCTTTGTCCTTAACAGCTGACCCATAGAAAATATAGGCCAACATGCGCTCAATATGAATCCCACTGGTTCTTCTGCTTCCACAGGTCTCTCTCCAGGCACTCTCAGGAACAATCCTTTACGTCCCCACTCCGATGGATAGATGCTCAAAAGATAAGGAACTCCTCATAGTGTAGTAAGGCTTTATTACCATAAAAATTATAAAAAAAATGCCACTCACATAGATACAAGGTTCACAGAACCTATTGCAAGCATTTAACGGAAAAACAGGGTGAACACAGATGGTGGCTCCTGCACACGCCAGAGAAGACATCACAAGCTTCCATCCTATGTGTTACGCCATGAGGCACGTGGCTTCTTGATCCCTGAAGAACTTAATTTATATACTTTATTTTTATGATTATAGCATCAATATTTTTATAATGTTCATACGTTTATAGCGGTGCACCTTTTATTCACACGTTTACAATGGGACCGTTACCTATACCCTGAGTGCCAGCAGCTACCTAAATAATTATTTACACCTTTATAATTATTTATAGTTATTTATGTCTATTTTTAATTAGCGCTCGCTTACATATTCTTTTGTATACACTTTTTGTGATTAACACACCTGTGTCAGACAGTCCATCCAAAGGTGTTGCACCACTTTCATTGTTGAGGAAATGGTTAAAGCGGTAGTAAAATCATCTAAGTAAAGTTTAAAAATGGTCCCCCAGCAGGTTTCAGAAAGTGAGAAGGAGAATGGATAAAATGAATTAATTTTCAGAAAGATAAGTTTCTCTCATGTCAGGTTTCCTTTGAACATGGGACTTATTTTCCACAACATTTGCTGTTTGGTGTGGCCTGTTGGTATTTATGGACTATAAGAAATCTCACCTCGCACTGGTTAAGTGTTCCCAAAGTGTCCTTTCTACTGACCCCACCCCTCCCCCTTAGCTCAGCCTGAGTCTCTTCCCCTGCATGTGCTGCACCCCTTCTCTCCTTGGGTTCCTCTCAGGTGGCTGCTGGTGCCAGTTGAGTAGTGTGTTTCCTTCTCACTGACAATGTGTCCTGCCTTGAGCAGGGCTCCACCACCCCCCCACCTCTGATAGCTTTCCCTGAGTGTCTCAGCTGGCTCTCCACCCTTAATAGCCTCCCCCTGCCTCT